AGTGCTGTGCTTTAACCCGCTGCGCCACCAGGGAGGGCCGTGGTATTTTTTCTGACTTAGCATAATGCCCTCAAGATCCATCCATTTGCAAAGGATTTCCTTTTTTTTTTTTAAATGAAGAATATTTTGTGTGTTATGTGTATAACACATTTTTAAAAATCTGTTCATTTCTTGATGGGCATTTAGGTGTTTCTGTTTGGTTATTGTGAGTAATGTTGGAAAGAACATGCAGATAAGTCTTTGATAGAATGATTTCATTTCTTAGATGCACATCTAGCAGTGGGATTGCTGAATGACCACTGGCTGCTGCTAAGTTTAAACATGAAGGGTTGAGGCAGAGAAGGGACGCAAAGCTGGTGAGTCTGCATGTCCTTGGAGGGGCGTGAACCTGGCTCCTGGTCTGGGTATCTGTAAAAGTCACAGGAAGTGACAGCCAGAAAGTCCTTCCCTGGTGACAGGTTGGCACTGACACCTCTTAAGTGGAAGGTGTCAGGGGCTAGTCAGTGTCACTTTTGCTGGATTTGAAGTTTCTTAATATTTAAAACCAATCCCCAATATTTCTCTACAAATCAAAATCAGAAATAACCCTGACTTATGAAACTTGGTTATGATGAGAGCTTTAGCTGATTATATTTCATGACTTCTCCTCACCCTAATAGTCTTTTTTAACTTTGTGATTGTAACCTTAGAATATTGCTGTTATTTGTTTATATCATGTATGTGTTCTTCTGATAATGTTCTTTTAATAATGATTTGTAACACTAACATTCTCTTAAAGATGTTATTATTCCATGTCAACCACCTTTATTGAAATATATTATGCATGTACCCATTGCACATATTTAAAGGGCATATTCGATTAGCTTTGACATTTGTGTACATCTCCATAATTAAACCCATATGTCCATCACCCTCAGAATGTTCCTCATGTTCCCATCTCTCGTCTTTCCCTGATCCCCCACCCACGTCCCCAGACAATCTCTGATATGCTTCCTGTCTCTATAGTTAGTGTTTTCTTTTTCTTATTAAGATTTATTTATTTCTGCATACAAGAACTGGGGTGTAGGCCAGAAGTTCAGGGGGTGAGAGGATTCACCAGAGACAGGGTAGCAGAACAGGCAGGTCTATTGAAATACACTGCTGAGGGGAGCAGCGGGTGAGACAGGGGTGGTCTGCTGTGCCATGTGGGTCGGCTCCCTGGCTGGGGATTGAACTCATGTTGTAGTGGCTGCCGATATAGCTTCATGTGCTGAATCTTAACCCCTTGCACCACCAGGGAGGCCCATTAGTTTGCATTTTTAATAATTTTCTATAAGTGAACCATACAGCATGTCTTCCTTTTTGTCCGATTTCATTCACTCACCGTCATTATTTTGAGAGCTAGCCATGTTACTGTTCCTTCACCTTACTGCTGGTATATGTGTGACTATCCCACCACTGTTCATTATTCACTTGCTCAGGAACATTTGGGTTGTTTCTACTACTTGAATGTGACAAATAAAGCAACATTCAACACTAATGTGCAACATGTGTGGACATATGCTTTCATTTCTCGTTGATAAATACCTTTTAAACTTGTAAAGAAACTGCCAAACTGTTTTCCAAAGTGGCTGTACTATTGTTATACTGATATCAGTACTAGATGAGCGTTCCAGTCATGCCACGTCCTCGGCAAGACTTGGTATGGTCAGTCTCCTCAGTTTTAGTCATTCTAGTAAGTATGTATGTAGTGGTGATACCAGTAGCTGTGCCAGTGTGTTGTATAATGTTGTTTGTAACTATGCCAGTCGAAAGGGTTTGTCCAATATTCACCATAGATATGGTGATAAAAACTAAACGTGGGGAATGTAGCGGGGTTGTGGGGGAGGGTCTGAGGCCAGGGGCCACGGAAGGTGGTGCCCTCCTTG